CTAGTAGCTCTGTCTACGATAGGTATAACGGTCCGTCATACGACAGGCACAGGAGTCCTGTATATGGGAGGTACAGAAGGTAGATATTGTACAGAGTCTTTTTTGATCTTCATTAATAATTCTTTTCGACTTATGTTGTGTGATAATAGCAAGTAATAATTTTGTTAATTAGACGCTGGAGGGAGCGAGGGGAGTGGGGTCCCTGTATTTAAAATTGTTGCATTGATTATTTTATGAAAAAAGGTTCTTTTTATTCACTTTTATTGCAGTTTTTACTCACGTTCTCTTTTCTAATTCATTTTACAGCAGATCGCCCATCCGGAGGTCAAGAACTTGATGGAAGCATGAGAATGGAATTTGCACATGATCTGCTCTCTTATGCTATATAGCAAATGAGAAAGCTGTACCTTTAGATACATCACTTAGAAGAACAAACTTGACTATTTAACTTTCGGACGACAATCGTCGAGTTCCTTGGATGTTTGTTGGTTTGTCTGGAGAAGTTTAGTTCAAGTTACTTCGATTGGATGAAAATTTGGTTTTTATCTCCTTAATCTGGTAGTTCTTATTGCTTGTTGATTCGTGTAGATCCATTCGAGTGGTAGTAGATACTGAAATGTCTCTTAACCAAAACCGAAATCTAACTTCGCTTCGTAGTCCCAAACTTAAAATTATTTAGTACCTTGCAAAATGTTTAAACAACCAAGTTATGTAATAAACTAAAGAGGAAACAACAAAAATATAAAACAAAGGGGAGTACTTGATTTGCCCTTATTAAAGCTTTAATTTGTGTAAATCCTGGCTTTAGGTAATTAGGTCAAGTGTTAGTATCTGGAGCTTGTACATCTGTTGCCATCTCTTTTGTCCTCAATGATTGGATCGGTGCTTTATGAAAAAAGTTGCTCCTTCAGTACAGTAGAAAGTAATTCTGAAAATTTGTATGCTCCAAACACAATAACTTCATAACTGGATACATAGACGATAGGATAATTACTTGGAGTCATTTATGCATAAGAAAAGAACATAGAATTATAGAGTACTCGATGGCACTTTTGTGCCCCGTCCAGTACTAAACATGTGCGAAAATAGTGAAATCAAGACGAGGTGGTTTGTTGCATAGCCTTCTCAAGCCATGCTTCTGCATCCTGCATCATTCCAGGACTGAGTCTCACCATAAGTATGCAAAATTCTTTCTCGTTAAGCGCTCCATCTCCGTCGATATCACCTTCTCTTACCATCCCCTCGGCGTCTTCTTTGCTCATTCCTTCGAATCCCAAGTACGAGGAATTTTTCTGCAAACTTGAAGGAGTAATCAACCCGCTTCTCTGATCCGACAGAACCCGAAATCCCCCACAAAGTTCTTCAACAAAAGCATCCACATCTAGCTTCTCTGCCATTACTGGCAACAAGTCTTCATATTCACTTGGTTGTTCGCTCTCCATTTTTGCTTTTGTTTTCACAAATACACTTGGGATGTGCACACAAAGAAAATCTTGATGAAGAAACTTGTGGAGATACCTACGATTGATATAGGAAAATAATGCACAAATGTCTTGCTCTTTAGTCAAATCTTTAAATAATTTCTTTAAAACGGACGGTGTGGATTGTTCTATTATCAAGTTGTCGAATATTGAGAAATTCTTGGACTGCCTCGGATTTTCATCGAAATTATATTCCAATTAAGAAGTGGAATAAAATTACTTCATTTTGTCCGGAGTGTGTGTTTCCAAGAAACTTCCTTGTTTATATCTCACTCACTATCCAATGATTGATTGAATATAATATTGTAGTAACTATCTTGGTGAGATTAGACTAGGTATTTATTGAAATCTTTGGTACGTTTAATTTGCAGTATTTATTAAAGAAGAAATAAAAATTAGAAATGTATCAAATATGTCCATAATGTTACCGTCCTAACAAAGATGGTATAGGATAATAGAAAAGAATATTCCAACTCTTTTATCATGACATTACAACTTGTTTTACTTTTTGTTTACTAAAATAATTGAAGGCTGCTACACTAACACAAAAATATATAT